GGCTGGCGGGTGGCACCGCGACACAGAGGAGAAATGAGCGTGGGCTGGGTGCGCTGCCCTGCCCCAGGGCGTTGGGAGGGATTTCTGATGCCTCCCTGCTGCCTTCAGGTCTCTTGCAGGCCCGGGGGAAGACACAGCGAGGGACAAAAAAGAGCGGGGGCGATGGGAGGAATGTCACAGGTGAGAAGAGCAGCGAGGGAGCACGCAGCATAGAATCATAGAATCGCTTTGGTTGGAAAAGACCTCAGAGATCATCAACCTTTAACCTAACGCTGCCATCCCACCATAAACCCTGTCCCTAAGCACCTCATCCATCCTTCTTTTAAATACCCCCAGGGATGAGGACTCCACCACCTCCCTGGGCAGCCCATTCCAGAGCCTGACAACCCTTTCAGTGAAGAAGTTTTTCCTTATGTCCAACCTAAACCTGCTCTGACGCAGCTTCAAACCATTCCCCCTCGTCCTATCGCCCGTTACCAGGGAGAAGAGCATGCCTCGCTCCCTGCGGCGTCCTGCTGGGAAAGAACACCCGGTCAAACCGTGTTCCCCACGACCACCCTGGTGCCTTAGACACTTCCATTTCTGCTCCCCGAACGGCAGTGTGTGGACTACAGCTTTATGGCAAGCGGGAACCAGGCCCTTGAACGCTGTCGTGTGCCTGTGCCATGGCAGATGCTCCCAGAAGAGCTGATGAAGAAGATGTGGTATCTTTGCAGACCATGCAACAAAAGGAATTGAATCCAGGCAGGGCTTCCTGCAGGAAAGCAGAGAGCTGGCTGAGGAAGAAGTGGTCACTTGGGTGCAAAGTGCCTGAGTGACTTCAAGGCTGATCCACCCTCAGAGGGGTGAACCTGGACCTAACAGTGAACCTCCAAAAGAAACTGCTGAGGATTGCCAAGGACAGCACCGAGACCGGGAACAACCAAGCTGTGGGGTTTGATGGACTCCCTGGAGAATTTGAGCCTCTTGTCTGAACTACCTGTCAGATTTAAACTGTTTTAACCAGATTGTTCAGTCCCAAACAGTGGCTGCTTTGGAGAAGGCAGAGGATGTGGCCCATTGTGTTGCGGGGCAGTTCAGAGAAGGAAGAGGAGGAGGAGTGCTCTGGGTCAGTCATGACTGTGGCAGAGCCGCTGAATCCCTGTGGCAGTTATCCCCAGCCAGCCTGTGCTGCGCCGTGCTGCCTGGCCCTCCGGCTGGGCTGTGCTGGGCGCGTCCCTTGAGCTTCCCCGGCTGGTGATGGCAGCAGCGGAGCCTGCAGGCTGCTCCCTCTTGGTCCTGGCAGTTGCACCACCTGCCTGGCCTTGCCTTGATCCAGGAGTGTAGCAAGGAGTTCTCATGCAAAACTCCCTTCTCTCTGGTAGTACAAATGATGAACAGGACTGTTTTATCGCAAAAAAGTCCTGTAACAGCTCAAACGACCAAAGTGGGGTGCACCTTCCACGGGCAGGACCTGCTGGGCGTGCTGTATGCTGGTTGGACGCCTGTTTGGTGCTGCACAGCTTGTGGGTCCCAGCATCTAAAGGGACCAAAGTTTATCTACGCTGTCCTCTCTTCATAGAATCATAGACTGTTTGGGGTTGGAAGGGACCCCTAGAGGTCATCTAGTCCAACCCCCCTGCAGGAGCAGGGACACCGCTAACTAGATCATGGCGTAGGCTCTAATAATTAGCATCTTCAGTGGTCCTTTACCGAGTCTTAGTGCCTTTCTTCCTGGGTTCGTAATGAACCAGCACCTCCCGGTGCAGAACAGCTGCCCCTTCCCTGACCTGCTAATGACAGGAGCGCTCCTTGTCACTCTGACCTGGCAAGGAGAGCAAGTGGTCATTTTTCTTTATTTTGCTGTCTTTGCATTTTAGAATGAACTTCTTCCACCTTGGAGGGACACCGACAAGCATTGCACTTTTTCAAAAATACACAATTGTACGAGGATTTCTCTGAAACTGGAATGTTCAGTTAAAAGCCACTTCATATTTTTCATCTGTAAATGGTTTTGGATATCATCGATTTCCTGAAACTAAACATTCTGTAAGCTGAATTTCTGCATCAGACTGCTTTGCCTGGTGGTGGCAGGTCAGGGGTTTTCCTATTCAGCTTACTAAAGATGAATAAAAATGAATGTAAACAAGAGTTTTTAAGGGAGCTAAAGTCAACATCTGAGGTAAAAGTTCCCTCTGTGTGAAAGCATGTTTCAGAAAAAAACCCTGAAGCACTGATGCTCAGTGATGCCCTGGTACCCACCTGGATCATGCCGTGAAGTTTAACGTGCTTTCTTTTTACTGCATTTTGATTCCTGGCTCAAATGCTTACAAGGGATAGACAGAGCAAGCAGCTTTCACCTAACAGCCAATTCTTCAATGCACTGTGGACTTTCAAATAACTTTTTCTCTTGAAAGCAAACCTCTGTGCAAATTTAGTTTTCAAATATTCTGTCACGAGGATGAGTAATTCTCAGCTTACAGCTTTGGTCGAAGCGCTTCTATGGAAATCTCAGCAGTTTTAGCAAGAACTGCTCTTCTTCACTTGATGCGGTGCTGGAGGGGATTGGCTTTTGCTCAGTGGCCCAGCAGCAGTGGCAGTGCCATCATTGCTAGCAGCGGGCCGCTGGTCCTGGCCTGGCTCGTGCTGTCAGACTGTGCTGTGCGGAGCAGAGCTCGCTAGCAGGCATCTCTTCCACGGTCAGGAACGGGATGACAGCGAAGGCTTTGGAAGATAGGGGCACAGGTTGGAAGCAGAGACCCCAGAGGCCAGCAGGGATAACTCACCAGTGATCAGTTACCAGTTGTCGGAGAAGCACAACCTGGAGAGCCGGGGAAAGCCTGCTCTGGCTTTAGGGAAGAGGCAAGGTTTAGGGGAAGAGGCAGGTCAAGCAGCGGCGTGGCCCGTGGAAGCAGCCCCTCTGCCCGCCGGCACCCTCCACGGCCTCCTGTGCCCATGGCAAACGTGGGACGTGACTCTGGAGGACCAGCTGCCTTCAACACCTCGTGGTTCAGCGCCAGCCGCGGGCAGGAAGGGTGATGGTAATAAGTGTGTGCTGCTAATGAACATCAGTCTTGGTCTGAAGTGCAGGCTGGCCTGATACATCGTTCTTCTGAACGCCCCCACCGCAGCAGTCTCCAGTTCCCTCACACACACACCCATGCGAGCATTCAGTGGCAGCACTGCTCCTCGTGCTTGTGCAAAGGCGATCTGGCTCGCTCAGCACCAGGTGGCTGCTCCTTCCTGACCCCTGGCAGAGACCCTGGCGCAGTCCGATGGTGCAGCAGCATCCCCCCCACTCCTCCTTCCCCACGCAGGCGTAGAGGTGCGCACGCCGCTGGCCACGCAGATCAACGGGGCCGGGAGCCGCAGCACTCGCAGACACAAGCAGCGGCCTCGTCTGGTTCCCCTGTCTGGCTGCTCAAGATGCAGGTCCCTTAGTGGAAAAGACGCACATACACGTGCGCGTGCATACATATGCAGGTATGTGCATACGTATACACACATAGCATGCAGGCCCTGCCGGT